GAATAATCAAATTTTGTAGCTAGAAGGTCGACCTCATGTTCCTGTCAGTGCATTGATTCTGTCCGACCTTTGCTGAGCTGTCAGGGCTGGGTGAATGTACATTTGTCCCGATACTCAAACACAATCTCACAAAGCAAGCAGGTGAATCACGCAAAGACTACTTGTCAAAGCCGACGTGAGACATGCTGGAAGAAGAACAAAGTTTTCGACGTGCTTAAATGTGGAGTCAGAAGGCGAATAATGTTCCACAAGTTTTTCATAAATATTACCATTTGTTACAGAAATACATACATTGCTGTAGAATGGGTTCAGTGTGTCAGTGTTAGAACTTTTTGGTTGATAAGGAATTCTGAAAATTTGGAGACATTGGTTGATAATTTCAAATTTATGTAGAAAATTATTTGTGATATTTGAATATGAAAATATATCACTTTTGCAAAGTTAAAAAGGCTGTTTACACGGTGTTGATTGCTTAATGTAACAAGAGAGTGTACACTGTCATGAGCGAACAATCGGTGTCATCACAGATTTTCAGTCATCCATTCATAAATGTTTACTGCTATTTTGCCTTTTAGCCAAATGGAATTCGTTTCCATGGAAACATCGAGGATGGTTATGCTCTGGAGCTAACGTAATATCTACAAGATATATTTTATACAGAAAACGTGGAACTCTAAGAGGGTGTTTCAGCTAGTTTGGATGAAGATCCTCATGCATACTTAATTTCACATCATATTCGTATTAATGATAACTATTAATCTACCGATTGTACTTGCTCCAATTACTCAGAGATAATGTCAATTGCATTGATCATACGTACTACATACATAGTCTAGACTTTGACTAGAAATGGCTACATGAAGTTAATATGATATATATTTTCTTTCTCAGAGTGTGTATACACATTTTAAATATGGAGTTCATTATTTTCCCAAGAAAAGTTGCCCCTGGACAAAAGATAGTAAAACATTCATCTAATATTGATTCGTTATCATTCTTCAGTCACGTTGTTTCCAAACATTAACATTGTGTTTCTTATAATCAAACATCGAAGACTGTCAAACATATGAACTTGAAATGTGCCACAATATTTTTAACTTTGTCGCCTGTAAATATTGTCTGCCAAGGACCAGGACAGATATAATTTGATGTGTCGTCCTAGTGTGTATTTTAGAGGAACGTTTGTTGTTAAATAAACATAGGGCGCATTGTTTATTTTTTCCAGAGGTGAAATCGCCCCCTTAAATGCATTCCATGCTAACGCTTCTCCGCCATGTTAGATGAACGTCAGTCTATGCTTGTTTGTATGTGTATCTTGTGGTGATAAGGTATGCATTTCTGATACAAAGTGTAATCCTTACGCTTGCCATTATGCTTAATTAATTAGCATCGAGCATATTTGAATCCGAGTTGATTAACTGCATATTGAACTTGAACGCGTTTTCATCACTATCATAAACCACAATTACCAATCTGACGAGTGAATACAATTTTCTGTTAGAACTATAGAACGTCAGGGCAAAAGCATTCCGAGTCTTGCTTTTCCGAAAAATTAGCTGTGAAATTTATGTGAATGGATCAGTGAAAATCAGTGATGACACCAGGTGTTGGCAAAAAGACTCATAATCATGCAAATGTCCAAACGAACACTATCTATGGTACTGCACTCGTTTAAAGGGAGACTGGACAAGCTGATGGTTAAATTAGGCTCTTACTGACTGACACACTTTTCTTCTGGTTAGCCAAACTGAATGTGAATAAAACAGATTCGCGCACTTACTGTCCACAAAGTTGTGGGAATCTTTTTAAAGTGATTAGTACAGTTCAGCAATGCCGTTGTTCAGTGCATCAGGCTTCACTACATGTTTGCAATCCTTCCAGATACATCTTAGTACACCCACTGAGGCAAACAATTCAGAAAACATCACGAAGTATTCGCCTCACAGGGTTGAGAGCATATTTGGAGAGGTACTGAGTTTGAGGTAGCTGTCGCATCTGTTTGACTTCATTCTGGACATTCTGACGTATCTACCTGAGACCTTCTGAAAGACATTTCAGAGGATCAACTATCCACTTCGGTAATCATTAAAGGGTGGAGGCCTTTGTTCCGATGAGTTACTGAACTCCGCCACCCAAGTGAACAACGCAATGCTTTTAGTTGACCAAACCTTTCAAATTCGAGTGAAGACAATCAAATGACAGACCAACCTTATCTAAATAGTTGATTGAGCTGGGATATTGATTGGAATGAAGCTGGGGTAAAACCTTAGCGGAGAAGGGAGGGGCTACCCAACTGGTAGTCAGCAAACACAGTCGAACTTCACGAATTCAGTTTGAGTGGACCATGCTTTTTCACTCTCCTCTCTATCTGCATAAACATTATGTTATGTGGATATGAGTTTATTAAGAAAATCACCCAAAGCTTAATCTCAAATATTCTTTTCGATGACTGTTAACCACATTTTACGTTTATGTACGTGACAGGTGACATTATGTTTTTATTGTATATTCGTTACAAGGTTATCTGTATTATACTTATGTACACACACACACACACACACACACACACACACACACACACACACACACACACACACACACACACACACAAACACACACACACACAAACACACACACACACGTATTTAAGATGCAACCAAAGCCACATTTCACACATGCTCAAAAGATTATTTTTTTATTCCGATCAGTGGATCAATGTGCATTTCTCAGTTCACACTCTTCTTTGGGCATTGTGGGGTTAACAGTCACATTACCATCTAATCCGACCGGGTACCCATTAACTGACGGGTCAATTGAGGCATATTTAGGACAACGTCACTCACCTAAGGAGATATCACCAGTTACATATACTTCAGTGTGGGACAGAACCGAAGCCTTAAAAACTCACAAGCCAAATCGCCGTCTAACTTCACTTTGAATGATTTTACCTGAGGATTGTGCACCGGTCCACGTGGCACAACATGTGTTTATGTGTAGAAAGCGTACTCTCAATACTGAATCAGTTTGTCTCACAACCAGAAGAGATATGTATAGAAACCATGTGTGAAGCGTGGGACAATCGTGACAACTGCTACCTAATACCTAATCCCTGTCCTTACTTTACAAAGCTATATGATGTAATGCCCAAGCAAACAGATAATAAAATATATGTCCTTTTGTTTGTTGAATATGACGTCAGTTAGAGAAGTATATGGTAAATAAAAGCCACAAAAGCCTTTAGTAATCATAAGAAATCTCTGCTTAAGTCACGTTATGTCGATGACACATGTCGATGCATATTGATACAGAAAACCCCCAGCTTTATGGAGATATGTTGTATTTGTACAAGACATTTTTATGAAACATCATCCCTAGCCATTTCATACAGCATCGCCAACTTGAAATGTTTGCTAAGCTTACAATGAATCCCAAACCAGCTGACAGCAGAAGACGAAAGCAATGTTCTACAAAAATTAAACGTAACAGTTTTTGAAGTAACCTTGCATTGTTGCAATTGAACGTAATTACATGTATTTAATATCAAGCAGGAATTTCTATTACGCATACGAGGCCGAAATTGTTGACAAAATGCCATCTTCAGTTAGAGATCACTGTGATGGATATTCAATGGCTGTACCTAACCTGCAGGGTTAAAGAAAGCAACCTTGACTAACCCCTCACTGTGCTCATTTGTGTGAACATTCAACTCCCATGCACCAGGAGACGGGAACGTCAACTGTTGTGAGATATACTTCATACGGTGCTTACAATATCAACCAGGACATGAGAATCAAATACATTACCATCGAGTACCATTGCCATCAAATATGGGTGTATACTTTTTTTTACCCTGGCATTTACAATACACATGAAGTTAGGTGACTGTCATGTAGCCATTATCATGACATGCTTGTCTTTGTAAAAAAAATGCATGACAATCAATTTTCCTACGATATCTAGCAACATGCCATCCTGTCTCGTAATGATTTTCCATCTATTTATTCATGTCTTCCTGTATTGAGAGGTGTTAATGCGTGTTAACTTCAAACCAAGGCGAGGACATATGGTCAGATATCTCACAGTGTTAAACGATTTGAACATTTATCGATAAATGTCTTTTTCTGAATTTTCTAATCAAAGTTAAGACATATTTCAGTTTTTTTCCAGATCAACAGCAACTTTTATAATTAAATCAAATTTAGGTTTCTCCTTTTTATCATTTAAGAAAAAAAGGAAAGATTTGAACATTTATCAATAAATGTCCTCTTCTGAATTTCCTATTCAAGGTTAGGACATATTTCAGTTTCTTTGTTTCCAGATCAACAGCATTTTTTAAAAATGAAATCAAAGTTAGGTTGCTTCTTTCTATCATTTAAAAAGAATTGAAAGACTGCGTGGCATGCATTGGACGGTTCATTTTGAAGATGTTTTGGGTAAATGGGCAGAGCCTGCCGATGTGATCTTTTCAGGTTTGGTAACGGTGACGAATATGTTCGTTTGAGGGGGAACTTTTTATTTTTCTGTTATGACATCTTTAGAGAAATAAATGGTATCAGTTATTGCCTTCGTTGATCTCATTTTGTTTAGACTTTTTAGGGTTACTTTTATATATTATGTTATGGAAAGATTAGACGTGTGAACCTTTATAAATGTCACACCGATGCTGTTACTCTTAAATGTCATGCACATCTCAGTAACTTATACAATTTGTCAAGCTAAATAGAACATATGACTCAATTTGAAATAAAATCGTTGTAGTTGGCTTCATACAGAATCTGGTGATGCTTTAGTTTGTAAAATTCAATGTTACATATCCACGTAACCTTTTAATGTACATTTCGTTTAATGAGGGTAATCCTATTTGCACTTTCAAACTCGTTTAAAAACTTTTATGCGTTCAGTTTTAAAGGAGATACTTGTCGTCCCTGACGTTATTTGTACTGCATCCGCAGAAAGAATACTTTGTCGGTAGATGTATGTAAGTACAGGTGCTTTCTTACCTGGCTTTCTGATGATTTTCCTCTGAGGCTTTGGCTCCTGTTTAACTTCTTTCTGTTTGATCGTCTTCTTTCTAAGAGGTTTCGCTGGGGGTGGCACGTGTCTGGAAGCTACACTGTTGATTGGAACTCGTTTTAATGAACTTCGGATCGGGTTGTATCTTGTCCTGGACGTTCTGGAAGTCTTTGTCCTCGAGATCCTTGATGTCCTTGAGGTTCGTGGGGTGTAGGGGGACCCAGACCGGTACCCGGGGGTGGGGGTGACAGGACGACGAGACATACGGGAACGATTTGCGGGGGTAGCTGACTTCGCTGCCCACCACGGGTAATGAGCCAGGGTCCATTTGTCTCGATTCTGGTTAATGTTTGAATTTACCGTTCTGGTGTCTTTCAGTTGATCTTTGTGGGCATGGTATGAGTTTTTCTTCTTGTAAAGGTCATCGACGACGTTGCGTTCCCTGTCCGAAGGGTTCTTGTACTTACGAGGGCCGGTCAGAGCAGCTACAGCGTTTACAGGTTCACCCCGTGATTTAGAGGCAACGCTGTTGACGTTTCTACCCTGATTGTTGTTTTGCCAGGTGTACGATGGTTGTCGGCGACGTTGACCGCCGTACTGGCGTTGTGACATCTGTGGGGTTCGACGTTGGGGAGGTGGTTGGGTGACGACTTTAACAGGTCGACCGCAGTCAGCGTTCCTGGGCCAGTCACAAGTCTGGGTTTTTGTACTGAAGTGGAGGTTGCCTGGACATTTCATTGTATACTGCTGGTCTCCGATACAAATCATAAACTGGCGAGGGTTGGACGGGTGGCAGACATACTTGTTCTGGACCCCACCGCAGCGTTGGGCTGACGATGTTCCCAGATATGCTACAGTTAGCATCAACAGAGGAATCATTGTAGCTGGTGGTTAGTAGTTCACAATAGTAATGTCCCAGTGTATCGTCCACAAATGATTCCGAGGAAATTATACGTCGCTGCTACGACCGAATCACAGGTTGAGTAATGCTGTGGCCCACGTGTTCTGTCAAGAGACGTGAGACACTGTTTCCCTATGTGAGACTTAGCCTCTCTACAACTCGGTGGCCAAACGAGTGTCTACCCACATCGACCAAGAAGTTGAAACTGATGCTTCACCCCTCGGACAGAAGGCTTAAATACTATCGTACTGGCAAGTATAAAAACTCTCTGGCTACACGTTCTGTCACCCACAAACAATAACATGTGATCAGAGAAGCGTAAACATCGGCCCCCGCCGCTTCTCCGTCACTGCGCAGGTCACAAGGTCAACCGATGCCAAGAGCGCTAGTTCGCGGCCAATCAGATCGCTCGTCTCATCCCACTTGACAATCCTAGTTAAAACAAAACAGACCGCCCCTTGCTATTGTGAGATGCAAGGAGGTTGGCACGTCCCTAAGTGACCCTAAATAGCTCTATATTTACAAATGTTTGTTCGGCACCAGTCTTCACGTTGGACAATACAGGCTTTGATTAAGACAAAGCTTCTTTAGCAATTAACGATCCCCGTATGACAAATTTGATTGACTTTAAAAAAATGAAAGTTTGACCTCTAGGATTTCAAATATTTCCACTGTGAAAGAGTGACATTACAAAACAGCGATCTTGTTAAGGTGACAGTTTTTTACCTACCTGTGTATGGGTTCGACAGGCAGGAGAAGCACAGGCGGGCCACGTCATATGTCAATTTCTTCTCTTGGAAACAGAGACACGTAATTAAACAGTGTTTATTGAAGCCTTAATCATTCGTCACGTCAACGTTTTTATTGAACCTCATCTGACTCAAGACATGAGGTTTGACAAGGTTACCACTGTCGCATATGATTCATAACTCATAATTAAACATAGACTGAACAACATTACAGTTGTGTGTTGCAACTCCTAAATGAATATAAATTATGTATTCCTACGCTAAAACGTGACGATAACAAAATAAAACGGAACGCATTTACATACACTAACGCCTTGTCTCTGAATATGTGTAATTTTGATAGAAGCTAATAACTGCTTTTGAATTGAAAAAAAGGGTCCCAGTGAGATGGGAGATTCAGAAGCTAGGGAAATCTAGACTTGCTTCATTTAGGGCTTCAGCATTGCAGAAGGGTCTGGGTGGAGTAGAATATAATGCGGTTCAGGGACTGTGAGACAGACTAACATTTACATATACAACTAACATACAAGCATATACATTGCAACTTGCTGTTGATTAGTTAGTGACATGGGTTTAACTCTGGTTTTAACACCATTAAAGTTATATCGCGGAGTGTGAGTTTAGCGTGGAAGGAAAGTGACGCAGGTGTCAGATAGATACCACTTAATAGAACCTCACGAACATGGGTATTGTACTGTCAACGCCAGAAACAAAGACGAGATTCCACCCCACGAACTGATGTTTCTGGCGTGCTACTTGTTCTCAGACAACAGGGGCATGTCAAGGTTGATCATTGAAGCAACTGTCGAAAATTTTGTATGTAAAAAGATGTGTATCTAGAAAATAGATATAAACATGCACAAACACACACACACACACACACACACACACACACACACACACACACATACATACACACACACACACACAAACACACACACAAACACACATACATACACACATACATATATATGTTAGTGCTATTGAGCATATTTTGTTGATATTTAAAAAAAAAATGTTTATGATGAATAAAGAGAAATCGACTGACTAACTGATTTTTGTTGTTATGTCCAGGTGGAAATGTAGTGGAAATGTATTTGAATGTATTATGTCATGTAATTTATTCAATCATCATTTAATGTGGACATTTGGTAATCACTGAATACTAATAATTGAAACCAAATGGAGCCATACAGATTCTGATTTACTGAAACTTATGGAATATGGTTAATGTGATTAATAGAAACGGAAATCAAAGGGAAACCTAATTGAATTAAGTATATAAAAACTGAAACCAACTGAAAGTAGAGGAACTGACAGTAGAGGATAGCAGAAACCCAATGGCACCTCTTAGGAATCTAGGTAACTGAAACTCACTGGAAACTTACGGGAATCTGGGTAACGGAAACGCACTGGAGCCTTACAGGAAGCTGGGTAACGGAAACGCGCTGGAGCCTTACAGGAAGCTGGGTAGCTGAAACGCACTGGAGCCCTATGGGAATCTGGGTAACGGAAACGCACTGGAGCCCTACGGGAATCTGGGTAACGGAAACGCACTGGAGCCCTACGGGAATCTGGGTAACGGAAACGCACTGGAGCCTTACGGGATTGTGGGTAATTTGTTAGTTTCCGTTTTCCGGAGACTTGAAGGAAATGTACAGAAACGGTCCGGAAACCTAACTGAAACTTAAGTTTCCATTTTGTTTCAGTTAGGTTTCCGGTGTCCGGAAACGAAGTTATTTTTGCTGTGACTCACACAAACCAACCAAACTACGCACACACATAGAGAGAGAGCGAGAGAGATAGAGAGAGAGCGAGAGAGAGAGCAAGAGAGAGAGACTGAGGGTGTGTTAAGTTCAGCAGTGTACGGTAGTACATATATATTTATAAAGAAATCCACAACACAGTGACACAACACGAATTTCCTTCCCACGTAAGTTCAACATTCTCTTCGGGGAGTGTCTGTACTTAAGACTACCTGACGGTTCATTTGAAATGCATCAGCCATAATTGATGCAATGTGCATATTATCAAATACCACCAAATACTTCACTGTTGGTTACACATGTATCACTTGATAGATGGTCAATAACTACATACTTTCTATCTACCGGGCGCACTCGTAGTGAGTATATTCTATTATCATGTAAACAGGGTACATATGTACCACTGTACCATCCAAAACCGTCGTCCAGATTAATGAGATCCGGGACGTGACGTGGATGTGACTGTGTTCACACAGGTTTTTGTCTCAATTTGCAAAGGGCGTTAAAACAATCGTTTGTCATGCCGAAGACCCGCATTTGAGATTCGACTCCTCACATTGTCTGTTGATTAATTAAAAAAATTGCTGTAAGAGGAGTAAAACGCAATCTCAGTAATACCAAACGTTTTTCTTTATTCAACGTAGCCATCTTTCCTTTAACTGTGTAAAGTTATCTTGGTTTGGTTGTTGTATAACACCGCACTTAGCAATATTCCAGCTATATGGCGGTGGTCTGTAAATAATCGAGTCTGGACCAGACTATCCAGTGATCAACAGCATGAGCATCGATCTACGCAAATGGTATAAGATGACATGTGTCAACCAAGTCATCGATCCTGACGACCCGATCCCGTTAGTCGTCTCTTACAAGCATGGGTTACTGAAGACCAGTTCTGATGCCATCATGTCCTTATCGTTAATCGACCGCCTCCGTGGTGTAGTGGTTAGAGCGTCCGCCCGGAGAGCGGAAGGCCGCGGGTTCGATCCCCGACCGCGTCATACCAAAATACGTTAAAATATGGTACTTGTTGGTCCCTGCCTGGCGCTCGGCATTAATGGGTACAACAAGGACTGGTCGTCTCGGAGTCAGTATAATGTGTCTGAGTGGGGTATTCATGCTTCACTGCGGCGTGGTATCTCAGTGGGCTAGCACTATAAAACCAGCTTAATCTGGGCTAGTACAAGCAGCCGCACATACACATACACACACACGCATGCACGTCGTCATATGAGCGAAATATTCTCAAGCACGACGTTAAACCCAATTTCACTTCACTTCACTTATCGTTAATCGCCTCACACCAGTCATAGGCGTCATGGGAGTCATAGTACAATACATGTATATCCTGATCATTTAACTAATGAACACCTGGTGTCAGTATATCGTACCTAAATGACTACGTGCGATACGGTTGGTTCCTTTCACCCTTGATCTCTCGAGTGACAACAGTACTATGAATTTCTCAGTGGAAGTGTTATAGAAATGTTCTGTGCCCCAAAATCAACAAACAAACAGGCAAACAAACAAAAAGAAAAAAATCCAAAACCCCTGCATTCATTGTTCATTGATCTTTGCCATTTACGTCCAGTATACTCTGTGTCGGCAGATAACTACGGCCAGTACTCTGGTGTGCATGTAACATATTTACCCACACTTTATGAGTGCTCGCTGGTGTTCTGTTCGTGAACACATGGTGTCATCACTATTTGATATCAGGCTCGCTGACCTGGGTGACACGTCATCGTTTCCCAATTGTGTAGATCGATGCTCATGATGTCAATCACTGGATTTCTGCCGCCATCTATCTTGAATATAGCTGAGTGTGTTAAACAACAAACACATACATATTTGGTATTACTTTGTAAACGAATGCTCAGTTCTTTTATTAAATTATAAAGTTATGTCATATCAGCACTATATCATACAATGTTTCTTTTTTATCCTTAAACCGATTTTACATGCGGTAAAATTCGTATTTTTGTCCAGAAAGGTCGTCATGTTCATTAAACACAGTAAGACGTGTTCTCATTGGAAACGCCCCCAAATCGTAGTTTTTAATCGTTTTTAAAAAGAAGTGCAGCACGAAATCTGCGACACATTTTTGTGTTGGCAGTCTGGAAGTTTTGGCGTGTGGCGAAGACATGTGTAGTGAAGGTGTTTTCTTGGATTTCCAGATTTGCATAACAACAACTTCAGTGCACTTCTCCTAAACTGATTAAATGCCCAAATCAACACAACAATACGACACGATCATGTTTGTCTTTCTGTGTTGTAATGTTTTAGGACAAGAAGGATACAAAAACCTACGCTGAATATTTCTTACGTAATATGTACTGTATTGTATTCCTCAACATTTATTCTCATAATCCCATAAAAGAGACATGTTTTCGGTGTGTATTATTGTGTTCACACTATTTCATAACATCTGCAACTATGCCGAATCATAGAAATTAAGAATTATCATTAGACATTTAATTTAAACAGTAAATGCAGAATTTGATACAATGTTGATTATATACAGTGTAGCTACAATGTCTATTGATTTTACAGGTAATGGATAAGAGTAACAGCTAGTCTCTGAAATGAACATATTTTACAGAAAAAAAGGTTTTAAATTAAAATAAAATGCACTAAAAAGGAGCCCAGAGACTTTCATCATTTTCTGAAACTGTGGTAATCTAAACTTACCACACATTCTAGACTTGCATGGGCTGCATCTGGTATATATGTTTCAGGGTCTGTATGACAGACAAGTAATGAATGAA